TCTGATCTTACCTTTAGGTCTTTCATCCATTTTGAATTGATTTTTGTATATTGTTTAAGATAAGATCCAATTTCATTCTGTTGGTGATAGAAATTCAGTTTTCCCTGCATCATTTATTGAAGAGACTATTCTTTCCTCATTGTGTCCTTTTGATGCCCATATCAAAAATTAGTTGTCCATTTATGTTTTAACTTATTTCTGGACTCTCTGTTCTATTCCGTTGGTCTATGTTTTTGTTTTTAATGCTAGGACTATACTGTTTTGATTATGATAGCTTTGTAATATAATTTTAAATCAGGAAGTCTGATGCTTCCAACATTACATTTTTTCCTCAGTATTGTTTTGGACTTCTGGTGTTTTTTATGGTTCCATATTAATTTTATATTCTTTTTCTATTTCTGTGAAAATAGTCATTGGAATTTTGATAGACATGGCATTAAATCTACATATTGCTTAGAGTACTATGATTATTTTAGCAATATTCTTCCCATTTGTGAACACCTATTTATTCATTTATCTGCATCATACTCAATTTCTTTCATTAATGTTTTATAGTTTTAGTGTGCAAATCTTTCAGCTACTTGATTAGACTTATTCCTAGGCATTTTATGCTATTATAAATGGGACTGTTTTCTTAATTTCTTCTTCAACTAGATCATTATTCATGTATAAAAATGCTACTAATTTTTGTACATTGATTTTGTATCTTGCAACTTTACTGAATTCATTTATTAGTTCTAACAGGTTTTTTGTGTAGCGTTGAGGTTTTCTGCTTATAGGATCATGTCATCTGCAAATATAATTTTCCTTTTTTCATTTTCAATTTTGGTAGGTAGATCTATTCTGGATATTTGGTATAAATCAAATCATACAATATGTGACCTGCATTTTTTTCACTTGACATAATGTGGGAGGTCCATCCACATTGTAGTATGTATCAGTAATTTGTTTCTTTTTATAGCTGAATAATATTCTATTGTGTACATATACTACAGCTGGTATCTGTCCATCTGTTGATAGTCATTTGGGTTGTTTCCACCTTCGTCTATAGTACATAGGGCCACTATGAACATGCATGTAGTATGTATTATATAATTATATATTACATAATATAAGGATTTGATTAAGTACCTGTTTTCAGTTCTTTTGAGTATATACCTAGGAGTGGAACCGCTGTGTCATGTGATGATTCTATATTTAACTTATTGAGAAACCATCAAATTATTTTCCATAGCCCAACTATTTTAAATTCCCACCAGCAATATAAATGGGTTCTAATTTCTTTACATCCTTACTAGCACTTGTTATTGTCCATTAAAAGAATATTTCTAACATAAGGTTAATTATTTTCTTATTTTTGCAGTGGAAAATAGAAGGTTTTGTGAATACTTTTTGTCTCAACAATATCATTTAGATATTTAAATATTTGGTAATAATTTCCAATAAAAATACAGAGCTAAATAAAGAAGGACAATGAAAATGCTAGATTTATCAAGCAAAAGTTTGTGGGCAATGTGGCTTAGAGCTGTAAGTAAATGAAGTGTTTCATTTCCCCTATAATGTAATAATTTTTTAAACTACATCCAATCGGGCACTTTTAGCTCCCCCTCAACCTTTGTTTTCATTTGCTATTTTGATAAAATCAGAAATAAGAATTGTATGCAGTCTTGTGTTTAGTTTGATATAATTGATTATATTATATATTTTAATCAAAGCGTCTACATACCACAATTATTTATGACAAGTGAAATTCTAAGCTTAATTATAATCTGGAATTTTATTTAAAATAATAATTTAAAGTAACTTTGAGAAACTTCTAAAATGTGTCCAAATTTTTCAGATAGGCAGTTATTAATGTAAGACTTCAAATGTTTCTCTGGAGTTGTAGGCCTTCTCTGTGTTAACTGCTTCAGTATCCTGAACAAATAGTGTTTAAATGCTAGGTACCAGAAATTTTGCCTCCAAATATCAGATCAAAGACTGACTAAAATAATTTTTTAATTATTTCTTTGTTACTTCTAAACAATGTTGCTAAGGTAGTGTTTTGATATATTACCTTAAAACATTTCTTCATATGAAATTGCACTCTGCTTCAAACATTTTGAGTAATAATGTTTTATTTTTATAAAATGATTTTCTATTGAGCTATAAAGAAGACCAAACTGAGAATATTAATTATTGCTAACTTGTTGAAGACTTCAGAAGTTTTGGATAATTATATCACAATTCACTGAAGTGCCTCTTAACCAATTTTCCCCTGACTCTCTTGTGATACTTCAACTTCAAATGGCTTCTTAGAACTGCCATGTAAATCAACGTCATGTAGGTTTCTGCATTATGCAGGACTGTGAATGCCAGTTTCCAAAATCAAGGAATAACATTTTCCTGATTATTAATTAGTTTAGAATCTTATTAACATGCTCACTGAATTTTTATTCTCTTCTCTGCAAAATGCCAATTTATCTTTTGCCATTTTCTTTTGGGTTTACTTGTATTTTCTTATTGACTTGTAGGAACTTGTTACCTTTAGTAAGTTGTATGTGTTGTAAACACTTCCTCTCAGTTTGTGACGTGTCTTTTTACTTCATTAACTTTAATGTAATTAAATTTATCACTTTACTTTTGCTTTTAAGTGATTTGTGTCTTGTTTAAGAAGAATTTCCATACCACAATCTTATGACAGTTTTACTTTATAGCTACTAAAATTTTAGTTTCTCTTAGGAGATTTGCTTAACAATGTGAAATTGATTTCTTTTTGCATATGAATGGAATAGATGGCTAATTTTACTTTTTAAGGAAAATTAGTTTTTCTACATTGATTTCATTTCAAATCCAGTCATTTCTTATAAATCAGCCATACCATATCCATCATACATCAAAGTTTCATATATGATTTTACTTATTTCTGGCCCTTTCCATCCCACTGGTCAATTTTACCTCCCTATGCCAATATCTGGTTTCACTCATTTACATGAGTCATAATATGTTTTGATATCTGATGTGGCGATTCTTTTTACCTTTTTAGAGTTCTTTGGGTATTCTTGATACACTGCTCTTCCATATAAATTTTAGAATAAGCTTGTCATATTATATGAAAAAATCTGTTTTGATTTTAAACATAATTGCATTCATCAGTTTTTTTATTATGTATATGAATTTAGTCTTTTTCATGATTTGATCAATGAGGTACCACATATACAACAGTGGTCTCATGAGATTACATTATTGTATTTTTACTGTACCTTGTCTATATTTTGATATGTTTAGATACACAAATACATTGTGCTATACTTGCCTACAGCATTCAGTATGGTAACACACTGTGCATGTTTGTAACCTAGGAGCAATAGGCTATACCACTGAGGTTTGTATAAATATACTCTATGATGTTTGCACAATGACAGACTTGCCTAGCAATGCATTTCTGAGAATGTATCACTGTCATTAAGTGATACATGACTGTATATGTATATATTAATGTGGATGTGTGTGTGTTTACACACACATGCATACACATATATATCATATAATTTTTTTGTTCAGATTTTGGTAGGATATGGGAACTAGAGAGAAGTAATCATGTATGCCAAATAAACATCTTGAATTAGAGATAGTCTATGAAACCTGTAACATTCTGGTTTTGCATTTTTGATAATTTATGACTTGTACAACCCAAGGTACTCTTAGAATATATCTGTAGAAAATAACCCCTGCCAATGACTTTATAGGCCAGAAAAGGCATAATATTATGGAAAACTAAATATGTGGACTCACGTATAATTTTGTATTCACCACTCTTTGGTAACACATTAAAATTCAATAGATGTCATGTACTTCTGACAGTTAGGAAAGTCTTTTGGGAATAAATAGCATTTGAACTGTCCCTTGATGAATGTGTAAGATTTAGAATCACAGAGACAAAGGTCAGAACAATTAGGTAGGGTTAAGAATAAAACAATATGAATAGATAGGAGATTTGCGTACTTCTTGGGAAACAACTGTAAACCAATAAGTTTCTGAGACAGGTCTTAATCAATTTAGAGGTTTATTTTGCCAAGGTTAAAAACCATGGTCCATGACAGCCTCAGGAGGTCCCAAGAGCATGAGCCCAAGGTGATTGGGTTACAGCTTCATTTTATACATTTTAGGGAAGCAGAAGTTACAGGGAAAGACATAAATCAATACATGCAAGTTGTACATTGGTTAGGCCTGGAAAGGTGGGACAGCTATAAATAGGGACTTCTAGGTCATAGGTGAATTCAGGTTTCCTGATTGATAATTGGTTGAAAGATATGACTTGCCTGAATTGTTGAATTCACCATTAAAAAAAGAAAAAAAAAAGCCAAAGTTCTTGTCATATTGATGAAGCCTCCAGGTAGCAGGCTTCAGAGAGAATAGATGGTGAATGTCTCATATCAGACCTTGAAAGATGTCAGGCTCACTAAAAAGGACCTAGTAAGGGCAAGAGCTTCTCTACAGAATGCAAATTTCTGCCACAAAAGACGGTTTTGCAGGACTGTTTCGGAATATATCAAAGAAATATATTTTGGAGTGAAATACTTTGATTTCTTTCAAGGCCTGTTATCTGTCATGTGATGCTATATCAGAATCAGGTGGGAATTTGGTATATTATTGCTACAAAGAGTCTTTTTTGTTTATCTTAAGATTTCTGTTTTAATTTTAAAGCTGGTCTGTTGTGTCTAGATTACAAAGGCAGGAGGTCATAATGAGTCATGTCTAATCCCCTTTCCCATCATGTCCTTAACTAGTTTTTTAGATTTCTTTGCGGTCCCCTTGGCCAAGAGTTGGGGGGAACTACTCAGTCAGTTGGGGGGCTTAGAATTTTATTTTTGGTTTACACAACCAAGAGTATAAGTAGACAAAAATATAGTGAAGTAGAGATATGTAAAGTAGAGAATTGACAAGTTTAAGTGACGTTTATTCACTGTTTTTTAATATGTTTAAGATTTGATTTTTATTGAGATCTTTTGTTTTGACAGTTTGAAACTTCTTTTGAAGAATGGTAAGAAAATTTCATGCTTTTTAAAACTATTTTATTTTTAATGTCAAAATTTCAGTCATCTGCTATAATCCAGTTTAGCTTCAAAAGGAATAGAAAATCGAATGCAAGATTTTTCACAATAGATATTACAATATATTTTTTAAAATATGAGAATTAGGACATCACTGATAATGGCAAAATAGAGATCTCCAGAGCTCCATCCCTCCACAAAAACAACTATAAAATTTGCAAAAACATTGGTCAGAATCAACTTTTGCAGAAATCTGGAATCCAGTAAAAATTTAATAACCAGTAGGGGAAAATTCAATGAAGAAGGAAGCTGCTGCATTGCATTAAGAGAGCACTGTGGCATTGTAATTTGCCTGCTCTGCATTCTCCAGCCTTCAGACTGGTGGCAGCTAGAAAGAGAGCAGTGCACACCTGTGGTGTAGATTCCTAGTGCCAGAGGGAATAATAGGAACATCATTCTCAAAGAATTGTGTTTGAGTGGTCTGATAGCTCCTGGAAAGACTAGCATAAGGACTTTGCTTGACTTGGGGCAATCACAAGGCTGGGGCTACTTACAGGCAGTGTTTGCAAAAAGCCTTTAAAGGCATATACTTGCCACAGCAGCCTGAGGCTATAGATAACAGCTAGGACAAGCATTAACCAGACCAAAATTCCTGTGAAAAAATAGGTTGGAAAAAGGGATAGATACATGAAGGAAAATCTCTCAATATACTGGAGATTTGAAAGAGCACAGAGGGCTGGAAAAATGTTCAAAAAATACTGAGAAGATCCTAATCTTACTTCTGGCTGACCTTTAAGATCTGCATAGGCAGGAATTGAAGGCAGAGTCAGTGTTGTAAACAGCCTAGGCAAGCCTGGAAGGACCTTCTGCTAAGGTCAAGACCAAATCTGCTAAGATTGAAAGTATTGTTTTACTTTTTCCTTTCTTTTGTTGCCAGCCATTTAAGAGAACTCACACAAAACCCTAGCTCACCAGTAAGCTAAGGAAACAGATTTCAATGATTACACATGACAAATAATACAGCCATTATGAAAGAGTGTTCCTAAAAGTCACTAAACAAACAGTAACCCACTACAGACAGAAATAGCAAATCCAATGGTGTAATATGGTTTTTATTTCACATTAAAATACTCAAAATGTCCAGTTTTCAAAAAGTAGATATGAAGAATGCAAAGAAAAGAAAGTTTGGCTCATTCACAGTGAAAAAGGATAAATTCACATAAACTGTTCTCAAAGGAACCCAAAATTTGACTGGACAATAAATCAATTGGCTTAAATTATCTTCAAAGAGATAAAGGAAACCCTGAACAAATAACTAAAGCAGAAAAGTGATGTTTCAACAAATGTAAAATCTCAAGAGAAATTATAAAAATTAACCGAATAGAAATTCTAGGCAGGACGCAGTGGCTCATGCCTGTAATCCCAACATTTTGGGAGGCTGAGGTGGGTAGATCATGTCAGGGGTTCAAGACCAGCCTGGCCAATATGGTGAAACCCCATCTTTACAAAAAAAAATATACAAAAATTAGCTTGGCATGGTGGCATGCACCTGTAGTCCCAGCTACTCAGGAGGCTGAGGCAGGAGAATCGCTTGAACCCAGGAGGCAGAGGTTGCAGCGAGCCAAGATCGTGCCACTGCACTCCAACCTGGGCGACAGGTGAGATTCTGTCTGGAAAAAAAAAAAAAAATTCTAGAGCCAAAAAATAAACTAACTGAAATTAAAAACTTCACTAGAAGGGTTCAGTAGCAGCTTTGAGCAGTCAGAATAATCAGTGAACTTGATGATAGGTTAATAGAGATTATCTAGTCTAAGAAAGAAGAAAGACAAGAGAATAAAGAAAAATGAAAAGTGCCTAATAAGCCTAAGGGGTACCATCAAGCATAATAGCAGTCAAAAAGTGTGAGAAGAAAGGGATAGAGAATGAAAAAATATTTGAAGAAACACTGGCTAAGAAACTCCTCAATTTGATAAAGACTTAAATCTATGCATCCATCAAACTCAGTGAACTCCAAATAAAATCAAGTCAAACAGATCCACACCAATATACATTTTAGTTAACGTGTCAAATGCCTGGGACAAAGAGAATCTTGAAAACAGCACAAGAGAAGCAACTTTTCATGTACCAGGGACCCTCAGTAAGATTAACAGTGAATTTTTCATTAGGAATTGTGGAAGTCAGAATGCAGTGGGGTGACACATTTAAATGCCAGAAGGAAAAAAAGAAACTGCCAATGAAGAATTCTGAATCCAGCAAGAGTATCCTTCAAAAAGAAAGGAGAAATTAAGGCGTTCTCAGATAAACCAAAGGGGTGTATCACTAGCAGTCCAGTTCTATAAGAATCCTATAAGTAGTCTTTCAGGCTGAAATGAAAGGACACTAGAGAGTAACTGAAAGCCATATGATAAAATAATAAACAATAATAAAGTTAACTTCAAAGGTAAGTGTTAAATCCAGTATAAGTGTATTTTTGTTTTGTAATTCTGATTTGTTTCCCTATGTGATTATAAGGTCAAATGGATAAAATTCATAATAATAAATTTCTGCTAATGAACACAAAATGGATAACTATGTAATTGGTGAAACTGATACCATAAGAGAAAGGGCAGAGATGTAAAGGAACAGAGTTCTTTATATATAACTAGATAGGTATACTAGTGAAGCTACATTGATTTTAATTCAGTTTTTATAGAGTTAAGGTATTAATTGTAATCCTCAGGATAAACACTAAGATTCTACTTTAAAAAATACAGGAAAACAAAGACAGGCAAACTAAACAATATATAGAAAAAAATCAACTAGTTACAAAGAAGGCAGTTATGGAGGAGTTCAGAAATAAATAATATAGAAAATGAATAGCAAAATGGCAAAAATAAGCCCTTCCTTATCAGTAATTAATTTATATGTAAATGAATTAAACTCTCCAATTGAATAATCCAACTATATTCTGTCTGTAAGAGTCTCACCTGAGATACAAAAGCATAAGTAGTTTACAAGCAGAAGGATGAAAAACCATATTCCATGCAAATAGTAAGTAAAAGAGAGCTGGAGTGACTATACCAATGTCACACAAAATAGGCTTTAAATCAAAGCCTGTTACAGAAGACAAAAGACTTGATTCATTGATAAAAGTGTCATTCTACCAAGAAGATATATAAACTATAAATATAACACACCTAACAATATAACCTCAAAACAGACATATAAACTAACGGAAGTGAAGGGAATAATTCTACCACGGGATTTTGTTCTACCACGGGATTTCTACCCGTGTTCTACCACGGTAGACTGTTCTACCACGGGATTTTGAGAATTTAATGCCCCCACTTCCAATAATGGATAAAATAACTAAACAGAAGATCAGTAAATAAATAGACTTGAATAACATGAACCAACTAGACCTAACCAGTTTATACAGAATACTCCACTTAACAACAGCAGAAAACACATTCTTCTCATGTGCACATGGACCATTCTTCAGCATAGATCATGTATTACACCACAAAACAAATTTAAATGAAACTAAAAAGATCAAAATTATACGTGGTATTTTTTCTGACCCAATAGAATGAAACTGGAAATCAATAACAAATGGAAACCTGGAAATTTCATATATATGTGGAAATTAAACAAATCATGTTTTACAAACCAGTAAGTCAAAGCAGTAATCACAGGGGAAATTAGAAAACACCTTGAGGTAAGTGAAAATGAAAACACAATGTAGTTAAACTTACAAAATGCAGCAAAAGTAGTACACAGAGGGAAATTTAGAGCTATAAATGCTTACATTTAAAAAGGGGATCTCAAATCCAGTAACCTAACTTTATACCTTAAGGAAGTAGAAGAGGAGGAGTATGCTAAACCCAAAGTTAGCAAAAGGAAGGAAATAAAGGTTAAAGTAGAAATAAATGAAATAGAGACCAGAAAAGCAGTACAGAGAATCAATAAAAACAAAAGTTGTTTCTTTGAAAAGAACAATGAAATTCACAAACCTTTAGCTACACCAAAAATAAAAAGAAGACTCAATTACAAATTAAATAATACAAAATTTGAGACACTACAACAGATTCTGCAGAAATAAAGAGGATTATAAGAGGATACTAGGAACAAATGTGTATCAACAAACTATTGAAGATGAAAGAGACTAATTCCTAAAAACACATAAACTACTAAAACTGTCTCAGGAAGAGGTAGAAAACCTGAACAGACCTATGACAAATAATGTGATTGAATCAATAACCAAAAACTTCCCCAACAAAAAAAAATCTCAGGACCACATGGCTTCACTGGTAAATTCTACTAAACATTGAAAGAAGAATTAATATCAGTCCTTCTCAAACTCTTCCAAAAAATCGAAGGGAATAATTTCTAAGTCATCTTATGATCCCAGCAATAACCTGATAGTGAAACCAGACAAAGACATCACAAGCAAACTATAGAATATACATGAATATACATGACAGGCCAGGCACAGTAGCTCACACCTGTAATCCAAGTACTTTGGGAGGCCAAGGCAGAGGATCACTTGAGCCCAGAAGTTTGAGACAAGCCTAGGCAACATAGTCAAAACCCATCTCTACAAACAAACAAACAACAACAACAAAAAAATTAGCCAGGTGTGGTGGCGCATGCCCGTAGTCTTAGCTACTCCAGAGGCTGAGTTTGGAGGAGTGCTTGAGCCCAGGAGATCAAGTTTACAGTGAACGGTGATTATGCCACTGTACTTCAGCCTGGACAACAAAACAAAACAAACAAACAAAAAATGACAAAATCCTCAACAAAATACTATCAACCTGAGTCCAGCAACGCATTAGTATAATTATACACCCAGGCGTGGTGGCTCACACCTGTAAACCCAGCACTTTGGGAGGCCGAGGCAGGTGGATCACCTGAGGCCAGGAGTTTGAGACCAGCCTAGTCAATATGGTGAAACCCGGTCTCTACTAAAACTACAAAAATTAGCCAGGCGTGATGGCGGGCGCCTGTAATCCTAGCTACTCAGGAGGCTGAAGCACAAGAATCACTTGAACCTGGGAGGCAGAGGTTGCAGTGAGCCAAGATCGCACCACGGCACTCCAACCTGGGTGACAGAGTGAGACTTTGTCTCAAAAAAAAAAAAAAAAAAAAATTATACATCATGATCAGTGAGATTTATCCTAGAAATGCAAGAGTGGTTTAGCATACAAAAATTAGTTAAATGTGACACAAGCCCACACCTTTCATAAAACTACATTTTAAGGAATGTATTAAACACAATAAAGGATATTTATGAGAAACCTTTAGTTTATATTATACCCATGGTGAAGACTGAAAGTTTTCATGTTAAGAACAGGAGCAAAACACGGATGCCCACTCTTTCCACTTTTCTTCAACATTAGAACTCTTGCACATTGCTAGTGTGAATATAAAATAGTTTAGACACCAAGAAACAGTTTGTTGGCTCCTCAAAAAGTGAAACCTAGAATTAGCTATCACTTAGCAATTTGACTCCAAGATATATATCCAAAAGTATTCAAAACATGTTCAAACAAAAATTCATATACAAATGTGCATAACGTCTGTATTCACAGTAGCCAAAAGGTGGACACAATCCCCAAATCCGTCAGTGGATTAATATATAACCAAATGTGTTGTGTATACACAATGGAATATTATTCTACCATTAAAATAAATAAAATTCTACATACTGCAACATGGAGAAATCTTGAAACTATTATGCTAAGTTTAAAAAGTCACAAAAGTTCCCTTATGTGATTCTATTTCTATGAAATATTCATAAAAGTTCATCCACAAAGACAGCAGATTAGTCATTGCTATGAAAGAGTGCATTGTAGAAAGGGAAAAGACTGCTTAATAAGTAGGGTATGTTCTTTTGAAGTGATGAAAATATATTGGAATGAGATGGGATGATAGTTGTACAATATCGTGAATGTATTAAATGCCACTAAAGTTTCCACTTTCAGATGTTTAATATTATGGGAATTTGGCTCAATAAAAAAAATAGAAAAATTAGCATAGAATTTTACAGGTCCAAGAATTAACTGAACTTTGTAAGATACACAAAATGATCTAATTATTATAATAATTTACTATATAATGTAAATGGTGTTAAAAGCCAGCAAGGAAAGTACTTTTAATAGTTAATGCTGGACAGTTATTTTTCAATTTTTTAAAAGAAAACAAATGAGAAAAAATACACTTTTCAACAAAAATATTCTGAAATAAATATGAAAACTAAAGGAAGAAAATATAAAGAATATTTCTCTGACCTTGGAATAGACAGACTTAGCTAAATAAGTTGTGGAACAATGACAAGAAAAATAATTTGTAGCTATTAGAAATATAAAATGGTAGTAAAATACACTGAAAATAATTTCAATTAACTAAAGCAGAATGTATAATTGTGACTCTAATTTTGTAAGAATTGAAGTAACATTAGACTACTCTGTGATCTCTGAAGAATAAATATGGATTACATTATTTTTATGATTTTTTGGTATGTATATAGTTTTCTTAATTTAGAATACTTCTTTAATAAAAAAATAATGTAATGAAAATTTCAAAAAGAAATTCTCTGCTTTGTTGTTGATACCAATTTTCTTGTAACTTTGATCAGAGAAAAAACACTTTTAAAAATGTATAATGAAGGCTAGTTTAGGATTCTATAATCAGACCAGAGAAATATAGAGAAATGGTTTATTATTCAACATATAGAATTTTAGTTAGAAAGGAAATAACATTTTAATTTATAGTCACCTCTCAAGACACTACAGTTTAGTGTTGTCCAGTAGAACTCTCTATGATAATGAATGTTCTATATTTCTATTTTCTAACAGTGTAGCTACTAGGAAGGAAATAACATTTTAATGTAGGTATTTTGCTAAAAGTTTATTGTCTGAAATGATATTTTTACTCATTGTAATTTACATTGATTCCCCAGAAACTACTGAACTGAAATTACAGAAATAGCTCATCCAAATTATTCTCACAGAATACCCTTTGTCTTATAGAAACACTGTCTAGGAAAGACCAATTTCTTTTTAAAAAAATGTAGCTTTAATATATTCTCAAGACATTTTGGGTCATTTGTAACTAATTTTAAGTTTTTATTAATTTACCATTAAGTGTAAATCTCATTACTTACTAGAATTTTGCTATGTTAGTCTCCTATCTAGTAATATTATATTGTATAGTAAGTTTCACCACAAATATTTAAAATTCAATGGAAGAGCATAACCTAAGATTTGTTTTACTAACTTTAAGAACTTCGCTCCTTTACTGCTTGTTTCTTTCCCATTATATAGGAGCAGAACTTCCACAAAAGACCTGAAAGAAGATTGGAGTGTAGCTACACCAGTGAAAGAGGTCAAACCAGAAGAAAAGAGAGGTAAAGTTGTTCCTCCTACTTGAATAACTGTAATTATATTTAAAAGCTCATTGACTTCATTTAATATATTTCTAATTGTCACAATAATCATGTTTAAGAGTTTTATAATTATTATGAATGTTTAATAGACAAAATAGTCCTCAGTATTGTTTGATTAAGCATTCATTCAACAAATATTTATTAGTGAATATTATACACCAAATACTTGTTTAGGTGCTGAGTATTTAATGATGGCTGTCCACTTCTCAAGATGCTATTTGTAGTTTAGTGTTGCCCAATAGAACTTTCTGTGATAATCAATGTTCTATATCTATACTGTTCAATGGAGCAGCTACTAGCCACGTACAGCTGTTGAACCCTTGAAATGTGGCTAGTGAGACTGAGGAACTTAATTTTTAAGTTTAATGTGAATTAAGTCACATATAAATGTAAATGGTTGCGTGTGGGTGATGACTACCGTATTGAAAATTGCAGCTCTAGTATGTATTTAAGTTGTGATAAATATTCTTGTCACAATTTATAAAATACATAATATTTTATATACTGGGGTAAAATTTGTGTTAACACTACTTTAGTGTATTTAAATCTATTATTGAGATTTTATGTCGCACCTCCTCTTCCAATGGGTTAAAAAATAGCGACTGTGTGACTGCTGAACGTGCACTTGTAACCATTATTTCATACTCCCATCTAGCAGAAAATCATTGTCTTTATTGTCCAAAAACAACACAAAAAAGAAATGCATTAAAAAATTTCGCTAAAATTTTTTAGCAAAAAATTGCTAAATCCTTGATTGAAGACTAATAAACTCAGGACTTTTTAAAAACAAGAATATTTTGTTTTTCAAAGTTTTCATTCATAGCAAAGCTTTGTTTTTACTCTTTTATTTTTCATTATTTGTGCCTACAGTGAAGATGAGGACCTTAATCATTACTTACCAAGTTTTCACACAACAAATGCTGAGAGAAAAAATAGATATATTAACAATCACAACTACAGTTCCATTAGCTACAATTATATTTATTATCAATATGTACCTTTGAGGTCTAAAACATACAACAATAGCAGGATGAGGAAGATTTGTTGTAATTAAGGGCTTATGCTAAAAAATTGCAGGTAGTTGCTTAGAACGGTAATATGAAACTGCAAAACTGAGATGGTACTCAAGAAAAAAAAAATGAGATGTTAAATACAATGAATTTGAGGCATCCCAAGTTACCTATACAGCATTTGTTTAAGGATTTATTATTGAAATAGTATAAAAGACAGCTCCTAGAAACATAATGAACACCTTTGCTAAAACACGTATACATTCAATCAGAAGTATTTTAATTATAAGTGATATTAATTTATATATTCCAGACTGAAATCTTGTTATTGTAATTGATTATAGAATGAATCATAAATTGGCTGGAGAACACAATGATGAGTGAATATGTTTTCATTTTAAAAAGACAATTAATGATTTAAAGTATCCAAGATGTGGTAGAATTTGACAAAAGAAAACAATAGATTCAAAGACAGCAAATAAAGGACCAGTGTAGAGAAAATCATTTTTATGCATTAAAAATAGGGAAACCGGTTTTATAAGAATGCTTCTGAAGCAGCATGCTGGATTTCTTTGAGAAGTCCAATGGGTTAAAAAATAGCAACTGTGTGACTGCTGAGCTTGCACTTCTAACCATTATTTAATACTCCCATCTACCAGAAAATCATTGTCTTTATTGTCCAAAAGCAACACAAAAAAGAAATGTGTTAGTTTTCTTTCTTGTTGATGCAGGTTAGCTATTTTTCCTCTAGCCTCAGCTCTTTGGGGGCCTTGTCTCTTAACACTTTGTATTTATGTGTTTATATAACATTTTGGCAAAAGTCAGTGTTTATAAGCATAAATCCTACAAGGATAGGACTCCTATCTGTCTTCTTTACCTTCCTTATCTCCTGCGAAGACCATGTGCTTGTTCCCTGGAATATAATAGGCTCTGCACATATTTCTTTCATAAATGGTCGAATGAGTACCCATGGTACTAATTTTGTTAACGTTAAGCCACATCATTCCAGAACTGTGAAACAGGAATCACAAATATTTCTCATTAAAGGAGTTAATTCAGGGTTAATTTAGTATTACAACTAATTAAATATAGTTTCAAAGTTCCAATGAATTCCTGGCAAAGCTAAGTAGAGAAGTTCTTACTGGATGAGACTGAAGAATATGACTTGTTTCTAGGAACCATCTATCATTATTCAGTATTTACCTGATGTAATCTTTATGATATGTTTTCTTATAGAATAGGAGGAAACACACACATAATTTTAAAATAAAGCTGTATAGTACAGCTTATGTTGGTTGAGATTTAGCTATTGTAATTATTTTATAAAATGATTATTAAAAATAGGTCTTCAAAGTTTATAATCAATCTTACGTTTGTATTATAATAAAACTGTCTTTAAAAAGCGAATTCATTTTTCTAACATTCTTATTAAATATATATTAAAAATAATAATACAACTAAGACCCATGTTCCCATCATCCAGCTTATTGACTGATTTATTAACAAATATGAACATATATATCGTTTAAGATGAAAAGTGTCCAGAGTTAAAGCAGGAAATGGAAACATTGCTCTCAGAGGCCGTTCATCTCATTAAAAGTCTAGAAACTGACCGGGCAGAAGCTGAAGCAGCTTTAAAACGACAAAGATCAAGAAAGAACATGATTAACTTGAAAATTGACTCTTGGTCAGTCTGGAAACTTCAAGAACTCCCATTGGCTGTGCAGAAAGGTAATAATCGGGATTTTTATATTACTTCTTACTCTGTTGGAGGTACAGATAATTAATTACAGGTCTGTGTATTTAAAAAAAAATTGTCCTAGTGCCAAGGCTCACACCTGTAATCCCACACACTTTGGGAGGCTGGGGCGGGCAGATCACTTAAGCCCAGGAATTCGAGACCAGCCTAAGAAACATAGTGAAACCCTGTCTCTACAAAAATACAAAAATTAGCCAGGTATGGTGGGACTCACCTGTAGTCTCAGCAACTTGGGAGTCTGAGGTGGGAAGATTGATTGAGCCCAGGAGATTGAGGCTGCAGTGAGCCCCGGGTGACAGAGTGAGATCCTGTCTCAAAAAATAAATAAATATCACCTGTTTAGAGTGACTGTCTTATTTTGCATATAAACCAGCACTTTTGAAAGATGTTATTGAAGATAATGGTGGGTTCACAGATGCAAACTGTGAGACTGCACTGGGCAAACTTGGACCTGATGTCCTTTCAGTGTGTTAGAAATCCAATGGCATTTATGGTACCTACAGAACATGCAAATATTTGGCATCTATCCTATAATGACTACACTATTTGAATTTCTAGAACTTTAGGAATTTAAAGTGATTGCCAGTTGGTGTCATTAGCCACATTTTTAAGTCTAGGAAAATTGAAAGAGTTTTAAGTCATATTTTAAGCACTAAATGCATATGCTTTTGAGAATTTAATAGTAAATTTGCTTTGGGAACTTCTAGCAGATAACAAAACCTAAAATGTTTCCAAGAGTCATATAGGTAACAGAGGTTTAAGAAGGAAATTCTTTTAGCTCACAGAGTGAGGGACCTATGGTGAAGGATTAAAGAATCTAAAGGTATTGGATTTTTTTGTTGTTGTTATTCTACAAACCCTGTGCCTATGAAAATATGCCTGACTACCTGATTCTGCCTGAAGCTGGAAGATTTTTACTCTCTCATAGGATAAAAATTTTAAATCAAGATGCACATGTTTTGTAAGAGATTTTTATTAATATTAGGGTGCCCATATATGATCTATCATTTAAACCAAGAAATCTTTGAGAGAAAAAAAGGACATTATTAATTATTACCTAGACCAACAGCCATTAATTCAAATTATAGGTCATAGTGTACTCATATTTAGACCTTTGTTAAAATTTTATGTCTTCTAAGGCTGTAGTTACCAAAGTAGGGTATATGAATTCCAGAGAGTTGCAAGAAAAGATTAGAACTTTTGTTTATATTTGTAAATTTTATCATTTTAAAAATTTTCTTTTTGAATAGAATTTATACTGTGTATGTTCCACTAATACGGTAGATTTATATAATTTATAAATATATGTGTGTGTGTGTGTGTACGCGCTTTAGAGGCAATGAGGCTACCACAGTGTCAGAAAAGACACCCTGGGAAATTCTGGATCCCCGTAGATTCTTGACAGACTCCATTCACATTGACAGGAGTCATCCACAATTTTCCTAATTGTTTGGGAGGTTCTTCCTTGTTAGTAGTAGTAGAAAAAATACAGAGGGAAGGTTTTATTGAATTGTTTGCTGATAAATTTATATATAATCTCATATACCCTTTGTAATAGTGCTTAGATATTGTAGTTTTAGCAGTTCTACTTTAGGAGTTCTTGAAATAAAATTTAAGTTGAGATACATGTGTGCACATTATAGTTACTTAATAAATGTGTTTTGAACTATGGAATAAATATTTGTCATGGGTGACAACTTATTGTTGGGTTCTTTTAATCAATAAAAGATCTACTTAGAAAACAGATTTATGTTCATCTGCTCTATTTTATGTAAGTAGCCACTATATGCAATGAAATTTAAATTCATTATGGTTATGTATTTTTTAAAGTTAATAGTTTTCTCTTTGAAACATACTCCTTACAGGTAATATGTTCTCAGGAATCTTCTGCCTTTATATTATTTATGTAGAATATAATCTCTAAATTTTATGAATTTGTTTACAAAGTATAAAGTCATATTTTTATAGTCTTTAGATTCTCAAAAGTAAGACAGGAAAAAATTTTAATCTCCTTAACAAACTTAAGTATTATATTTGTTATAAATTTAGATACTTTTCAAAAATAAAATTAAGGAAACTCACTTCTTTCTAGATATTTTCTGGTCAGTCCTACAGATTTATCTTTCCTTCCAACTCCCCAATCCCACTTATATCTTTTGTTTTGTGACCCAGGAGGCTGATTCATAGTGGACTGCATCAAAGATATTGTTTGCATTCTATCTTCCTGTTGGGTTCAACCAATGAGAATCAGTGGCAAGAGACCATGGGGAGATAATGGAGATGGGTGAGGCAGGGGTATTTATAGCACTGACTGCCCCGCTCTCCATCTGGTCACTTTAAGCTGACTGCATGCCTCTCCTGAAAATGACAGCCCTTGCCATCCAACATGTAGCCAGTTATCTAGCAAATGCTTTTTGTTTTCCCTATCAAAAAAGATAACTAGAAATAAGCTTACCATCATGAATTTGGTAGTATATGATCCTACAAATTATAAAGTTGGATATGCATAGCAGTGTTCCTTTGCAAAATAAAAGTGTGCTTATATTATGTTGTACCCAAACATTATCTGAAGACACAACTAAACTTGTGACTCAGGCTCCTCGGGTATTCCCATTGTACCTGCTTCTATATATTCCCTGTATTTCCCATAATCTACACTATGGCTCCATGAGTACTTTCCTATGACAATCTGATGAAAGAGGAAAAAAAAAAAACACAGCCCTGGTTTCTGAATGAATTTGAATAGTATGTAGACATAATTTGGAGAATTACTGCATTCCAGTCACTTGATGGGAAGGGTGAAAGCTAATCACACCAGTGGGCAGAATTTTAAGTACTCTTTGAAGAAGGAGAAATGGCTCGAAACATATGGGAAGTGGCAAAAGGGAAAGCAGAGTGTCAGGGAATTTGAAAATAAATGAATGTAAGACTGCTAAAAAGAAGTCTGGGAAGGTAAGAGATAACCTTTGGAAAGGATAGATTACAAAGATCATTATGTCCCATATAAATGCTCACCAGAATGCCACTGCTATGGAAGATGGTCTCAGTAATTAATGGAATGTTAAATCTTCCATTTTGTTTTGAATGGTTTTGTCTTGTTAATTATTCAGTTATTACTACAATCATGCTTTGTAACAACCACCTTGGAACTCAGTGGCTTGCAACAATAAGCATCTTCTTATTTGCTGATGGCTCTGTGAGTTGGCTAGGGAAGCTCTTCTTCAGACTGTATATCCAATGGCCTTGGCTCAAGGCTGTATGTTGGGTTCAGGACAGCTTCATGTGTCTGTCATCCACTTTGCTAGCACCTTCCCAGGAGTAAGGTTTTCATGTGGCAAATTGCAAGAATACAAAATGGGTGAATAGAAACATAGTATGCTGCTCAAAATGTCAGCTTAGAGCTGGCATACCTTCACTTCTCACATCCATTTGGAGATACAGTTCAAGTTGGGATTGGATGGGGACATAGCCAAAATAAGTATCACATCCAAACCAAGAATCTATATGATAAGAAGTTATCTCTATCCCAAGGGAGAGGGTAGTGAACAACAAATCTATCATATCTTGTTTCTTATAACTATTCCTGATATTGAGTTTATTCTATGATTTCAACATATTTCATAGTAATCTCATCTTCAATTGTTAATTATATTCTGTAGAAATCCAATAAGCCTTGGATTACTTTTTGTCTCTACTAGAATCCTAGGAGTTTCACTGGTTCTAGATCAGTTTTCATACTAATTTCTTAGCTGAATTGTGATCTCTAAACCTTCTTAAGTTTCAAGTTAGAGTTTTTTATTTCCTTGAAGTCATTATTTTTCTACCCAGGGTCATTTACTGAGTTTTTTTTAATCCATGCCAAACTGTTTAAGCCCAAAGTTGTCAGTAAATTTTTAATAGGTAAATCAATTTATTTCCTATTTTTAGGTCTGTATTGGTTTGTTTTCACACTGCTGATAAAGATATACCTGAGACTGGGAAGAAAAAGAGGTTTAATTGGACTTAACAGTTTCACATGGCTGGGGAGGCCTCAGAATCATAGCAGGAGGCTAAAGGCACTTCTTACATGGTGGTGGCAGGAGAAAAATCAGGAAGAAGTAAAAGTGGAAAAACCCCTGATAAGCCCATCCCCTGATAAGCCCATCAGATCTCGTGAGACTTATTCACTAACGTGAGAATAAGATGAGAAAGACTGGACCCTATGATTCAGTTACCTCCCCTTGGTCCCTCCCACAACATGTCAGAATTCTGGGAGATACAATTCAAGTTGAGGTTTGAGTGGAGACACAGCCAAACCATATCATTCCACTCCTGGCCCTCCAAATCTCATGTTCTCATATTTCAAAACCAATTATGCCTTCCCAACAGCCCCCCAAAGTCTTAATTCATTTCAGCATTAACCCAACAGTCCACAGTTCAAAGTCTTATCTGAGACAAGGCAAGTCCCTTCTGCCTATGAGCTTGTAAAATCAAAAGCAAGCTAGTTACTTCCTAGGTACAATGGAGGTACAGGTATTGGGTAAATACAGCTGTTCCAAATGTGAGAGATTGGCCAAAACAAAGGGGTTACAGGGCCCATGCAAGTCCAAAATCCAATGGGGCAGCCAAATTTTAAGGCTCCAAAATGATCTCCTTTGACTCTACGTCTCACATTCAGGTCACACTGATGCAAAAGGTGAGTTCCCATGGTCTTAGGCACCCTGTGGCTTTGCAGGGTATGGCCTCCCTCATGACTGCTTTCATGGGCTAGCATTGAGTGTCCGTGGCTTTCCCAGGCACATGTGCAAGCTGTGGGTAGATCTGCCATTCTGAGCTCTGGAGGATGATGGCCCTCTTCTCACAGCTCCACTGGGAAGTGCCCCAGTAGGGACTCTACTGGGCAGTAGAGTCTACTGGGGGCTCCAACCCCACATTTCTCTTCCTCATTGCCCTAGCAGAGGTTCTATGTGAGGGTCCCACCCTTGCAGCAAAC